CGAGAGTAGTAATGAGGAGAGTTCATCGGATATTGGAAATCAGGAGGAGCAGGAGCAGGAGGAGGAGGAGGAGGAGGTGAAGAGGAAGTGGCTTCTGAGAATGGCGTTGAAGCTGAAGGCACCCAAGAGAGCGACAACGACACTGAAACGACAGTCAGGACACAGAAAGTAGTAACCCTGAAACGTCCACCACCTTTCACTCTAAAAGTCCCTGTGAACACTGCGAGAACTCTAATGTGTACGGGACATTGATCATGAAATGTCCTAAATGCTTTTGGCACGATTACTACAAGATTTGTCCTATATGCGATCACCAGATTCCCGAGGGGAGAAATTACATGAAAGAAGGCTTTCTTCGGTGTCACGATTGTGTAGCAGTTACACACAAAAAAGCGAAGACGTTGGAAACCAATTTCTATTTCCCTTCTAAAGAGGAGAACGAAGATGAAGATCAATTGATTTCCATTCCTTACAAATCGCTGTGTATTTGGCTCTTTTTGTCATTGTTTTTAATGAAGTTTTTAAAACGGTATCTCTCTTGTGGTTTTATTGCTAGCAATTATTGGTCGCGTGTTTTAATTGATCCTTGTTAAGTTATTTCAAATTGTTTATATAATAATACGTCAAGGTGCTCCCTTGGGTCTTTCCTGTGGAGCTAATTTGTATTCAACTCTGGGCTTGTGAACTCGCATAATTAACTGACTAACGGTGCGTGAAACGCTGAGACAGTAATAGTTTTTCATTTCCTCGAGATAGATAGGAGAAAACGTCTGACAAAATTGAAATAGAGAGTTTTCAGCTCCCCTTTATGTATATGTGTTTTGTTTGTATATATCCGAGTTTTAGCGCTAAATAAGAAGACTTAATGTTTTGTTTATATATCTGAGTTTTAGCGCTAAATAAGATATAGGAAGCCGTTTCTCGCGTTGCTAGGTGATCGCTCCTATTTTCCTTTTAATAGACGGTCTGAAAACCGGACTCAAGTTACTTCACGGGCAAGCCGAGGCAAGTCTATTGCTTCATTGAAGTAGAGAGAAGCTCATTAGTAAACCTATACCGAATTAGTATGCAGGAAGGCAGTGACTAGACACTTAATTAGTATGCAGGAACACGCTTATACATATTAATAAAGGGAATCCAAAGGGAATCCAACCACCTCTGATAAAGGTTATTTTTGTGTGTTACTGATAAAGAAGGCTTCTCCACTGGTAAACGATGCTTTTTAGTGTCGTTTACTGATGGGGTCGGCGAGAAGGAGAGGAATTCCACCAAAATCAGCCAGTTAAACTTACACGGTTTTATTTACTTACTCGCAAGGCGGTTCTACATTGTTCCTGATGTTCTTCTCTTTCTCTATCTCTCCATAACTGCTTACCCCTTCTTCCTTCAGTTCCTTAGCAGCTCGCTATTCATTTGTTTTTGGTCGTTGACCATATGTCTACATATATAATAATGCGTGGGATGTATCTGTCAACAAAAACGAGCCACAAAACTTATGCTTCCTTATATAGTTAATTACTAAAAAGGTGGAAATGTTCATTTAAAAGATGTTAAATTTGGAGACAAGATGTTCCACTCTCAAAAAACACAGCGTTAATATTTATGTTTCTACATGCAAAGCTTATTAGTAACTTGGTTATTCATTATTTGGCATTCTTAAAAGTAAACACGTAAAATATTCTAGAACCTTAAAAGCCTGTTGATCGGATATTTATCGGACTTTTATTAACTTTCCATATATCTTCAAAATCGGGAAGATAAGTCCTATAACACAGTATCCCGCTATTCGTGTTTTAACGTTGCCGCAAAAATTACCATATAAAGTATTTTTATTGTCTCACAATTGTCACATTTTTGCTTGGGTCTTGTGGAAGATTCATTTTTTCTACTCTTTCTTGTGTTTAAAGTCCAGTCTTTTGGCTTACTTACGAATCTTAAAGGGAAAGCTTTCCAGAAAAAAAAGGAAAAACAGTACAGTACAATACTTTTTTATTACAATAAAAAGATGGCAGCGTTTTTTGTTACTGACCGTTTTCAAAGTCTATCCGTTCTTTGAGCCTTCAAAGTCTATTTGATCCTTGTGAAATTCTTCGTCCAGATTTGTTTGTCGTCAATCGCCATTTTAGATCATGCACAGACGTCATACCGTCCATCGAGAAATTAACGGGAAGCTCAAGAGCCCCAGTCGCATTACTGCTGTTTTATTAATAGAGAGATTAAGAGTCACATTTATCTCAAACAGCAAACGTGAATTTGTACCACGTGACCAAGTTTTCCCCTTAATTGTCGTTTACTGTTTATTACTTCTACACAAAAATAAGTAGTTTCACGCCAGTTTTATCCATATTAATTGTAAAACAGTTTTTATCTGCTCATTTTCTATTCTGAGAAATTCTCAACTTCAATCTGACGTTGCCTTTTGTCGTTGAACGTGACTCTTAGGGCGTTTTCCATTCAACACAAAATTCCGGAAATTTCGGTCGCTACATCAAATGGAACAGTTTGGTCCGACCGAAATATCCGGGACCAGCTTTGAAGGTGGTCTACTTTGACCGGTCTGGTCATTTCGGTCGGTGGGACCGACATGTCCCTTTCCATTTGACAAAATTTTTGTCCCCAGTACTCCTCTTTTGTATCATACAAACGTGAACTTGGATGATGATGATGATGATGAGGAGGAGGAGGAGGAGGACGTAGTCCTTGGAAAGGTGTAGACTATGTAGCTTTCGCAGCACATTTTCCGAGGCGACCGAATGCTTTGGAATAGTCAGCTAACACAGCAATAGTAACTTCTCCTTGTTGCATAGCCGGAAGGATGTCATCCCTCGTAGCTAGTGGCACTGTGCTGGTATTGTGTCCTTTCCTATAAGCGCTTAGGGTTTCTTTGAGAACTTCCCCCAAAGAATGTGATAGAACATCAGCCTTCTGACTTCCTTCTGGCAATCTGCTGCCATATTGACAAATTTAAACGGGAGATTGTCCGGCCCGCAAGTGCAATCTGATCGCAATTTCTTTGTCTCCTGTAAACCACTGAACAGGAGATCGGTCGTAGATGGAAGGAAGCATCACCGTCCTCAGGAAAAGAGTTAATCAACTAAAGAAGAGCTTCAGCTGATTTTAAAGTGGCGCCAATGGCTCGCTCCGGGATAGACGCAAAGTAGGTATTCAACTCGGTAGGCTCGAAAGTTCTATGGATGACTTGTCACACCTGTTTTGGTGTCGTAGGCGAAAGCGCTTTGTGTTAAAAGTTGCTCTTTGTTAGATTCCCCATTCCGTAGCTAAAAGTTCAGCGCAATCTGGATTTCCTTGTATGGGGCGATTCTTTGAGCTCTTAATGGTTCATTGAAACTTTAAATTCTGCTAGTACGTTGTAACTGGTCAAGGTAATAAGTTGTAAGTTTAAATTGTAAGTTTTGCGAGCATTGCGCAATTCAAATGTAATAATTTAAGGTTCATTCCCGGAGTATGGTTGCTGCACTTGCCGACGAGATGCCAGCTGATAACGCTCGTGTTCTTATCAACATGTACTTGTCACAATTTGGTGTCCTCTACGATCTGTTCGAAAGCCAGCTGTCGATTAAAGCCTTCGGTTCGCAATGTTAACGGTTGTGTCGTAATGATATCTCTATTAACTTCCCTTAATGGCTGTCGTCTGAAACAGCACAAGCCGAGCGCTTGGCGATAATTACAAAAATGTAATACATAGTGAGTGTCATGGAAACAATTTCAAGCGAGTATAAGTAGTTCACGATGATCAAAGGCAACCACGTCAGCAAAGGAAAAATCGACACAAACAACAAGGTGTTTGTTAAGGTGGCTCCCTAGAGTAAATTGGCCGTGCGCAGCCTGAGCACTAGTATGGCGCGAGCTTTAAGATCCGCGCGACGTCCACGCAAAAATATAACAAATATGGCCCCTTTGTTTCGAAATATTCCCCCCAAAAAACTTTATTAACTTTCTGTTGAAGCTCATTGTGCAACAAGTTTGATTAGTGTAGGTCAAACATTTATGAGAGGAGACAATGCTACACCGGTTACAAGTCACTATCGATCTCCATAAGAGTAAACTGTATAAAAACAAAGCAGAAATTTTCCAAAGACATCAATTCTTTCGCTTCAAAAGTAGATAAACGTTAAATAGTCGAAGTAAATGGTGAGTGGAAACTTTACTTAGAAAACAAAGAAGTAAGTAAACTAACCCAGAAGGAAGCAATGTTGCTGTTTCTGGCCTTTGGTTCACGGTCAGTGGAAAGATCTGAAAGATCGAGCCAATTCCCGAACAAACACTGAAGATTGACTTCACTGGCGGAGCTCCTCGGTCACTTTATTTCTCTTACATTTGATTTGATTTAAGTAATTCTACAAGTGTCTTTAAGACAAGATAACAGGAAGTGTAATGTTTTTTTTGTTTTGCTGACTCTGTCACACTGTTTAAGAAACTTATCAGGAGAAAGGTTTCCCACTTGAATTGCATCCTAATCGAAGCGAAGGAACCTTTCCATCGACGAATCAACATCCTTGTATTTTTTCTTGTTTCAAACGTCCTTCAACGCACATGCAAGATGCACTAGAAAATGTTTTTGCACAACGAGAAATAATTTTTACTCACAGATTGACCCTTGACGAAAGCAATAGTTGTCCGTCGAGACCTACGGTCTTGTACGTGTAGCTGAGGACATGATGTACGATTTATAGATCGGCGCCATCTTCTACAGCAGACTTTTAAAGAAAAACTTCGCCGTCGAAATTATCCCTACAGAAGAACAAGGTCGAGAAAGTATCCGGAAGTGGGCTGACAATTGAAGATCTGCAAACAGTGTACAGCAGATTAGGAAATGAAGGGCTTATTGCGATCCTTGCACAATCACCGTCTTCATCTCCGACGATCGCCATCCTCACGAGTGACCACCACGGTTCGAATTTTAGCTACAATAGTCAAGTACTTCGAAGAAAACATCCTGTGTTAGGTATAAAATTGAATCCGCTATCTCTCCTTTTTCAACTGGCGAGATATCACCGTAATAATACTAATAAACGGCTTCAAAACAATGGCTTTCGTACTCTTCAAAGAAACCACATGTTTTCAGTAGCTTTGTGCATTATGCGCATGCGGGCGTGATGGCTCGCGCGCGTATTTTGCTCATACGACCCCGAACCACGCGTGTTTTTCGGATTTTTGTGACGTCAGCGCAGTTAATTAACCGTGAATTTCTCGCGTTTCCTTCGGTAAATTTTTTTAAAAATCGCCTCATTTCTTAACAGTCGCAGTACCTTTGTACTGTCATTTTTTTTGTCAAAATGTGTAAGAGCTAAACTCCTCTATTAAGAAAAATTACAAATTTCAAAATATTGGCAAAACCGTCTTAACGACCCCTTGTTTTTTCCACTTTAAAATGTTAAGCAATATCGTTAATATAAAGTGGCAAAGTTTAAAGACATTTCACCGCGGGAAATTAGAAACATTAAGGAAAATGGCCAAAAATAACAAAATTACTGCCTGTTTAAGGATGCGATGTTTCTATGGCAACGGCCTTAATCCAGAAAATGAAACTTGATAAAGGAGCCTTCTTATATGGGCAACCTTAGCGGTGAATCTCGTGAACAAAATCGCTAAGACAAAGTAACTAGATTTCCTTCTGTAACGTATGCTTGATAGCTCGGATTATTAGTAAATACTCTAGGGAGCCACCTTAAGCGTTGGTTTGAATGGCTTTGTTTTGCAAATGTGAAGCTGGATTACTGCGCCGTTGAACCTTCCACCAAATGGCGATGTTGCAGCCGCAGAGGATTAACAGTAACGTGAAGGCATATGAAATCCAAAAATGAATGGAAACTTTGTGAGAAATTATGAAATATGAAAGGTTGACGAGCGCAGAAATAAGGGCAGCCAATGTCCAAACTATGAAAATAGCCAGGCGATAAAGTCGCACTGACAATGTTCGGTGTTTCAGTGGCCAATAAACAGCACAGCCTCTCAAATGATATTGAGGCTGCAGATATTAGCGAGGCCTGAGAGAAAATGACTTCAACAGCAACGAAGAATATGTCCAAAGATAGATCTACCTTTGCTTCCCATAGCATAAACTGATCTCCCACGTAAAGGTAAATGTAACCCGGTAGCGACAGAGTTCCTATCATCAAGTCAGCACACGCCATACTGCAGATTAGAAACAAGCTCCTCTTACGCAGCTTTTTAGTCACTGCGAATAAGAAAAGTGTGAGTAAGTTGGATGCGACTATTAAAGCAGCCTCCGTTGCCAACACGCTGCAAAATACCGCTCCTTCGACCTTTGAAGGGAACAGCTCGACTGGAGATGTTGGAGATGAGTTGTTTGGGCGAATGGTCGCTGAGGCGTTGTTCATTTCTTGGTTTAACGTTAACACCATTAAGGAGAACTTTAAAGAATAAATCACAAGTGCTGATAGACACCACACGCAGAACTAATAAGAAAACTCCATCTGCGTCGCTTTTTTCGTTGAAATTACAGTTATTGTAATCAGGTTTCCTCCTATGGACTCTTGCTGTGTTCACACGAACAAAAAGTAGTGTTTAAAGTTGGGAGAATTATTTTTCGAGTTTGTAGTTAACTATAAAAAAAACAGATCTTACGGGGATAGCCCCTCCATTAATGCGTTCACACGAGTCCGTTACCAAATGGATCTGATCCGATACTTGTTTGGGAGCGGACCATTTTTGTCCACATTGGACCGTTCCCTTAGGAGGGTCTGTTCACACGGGATCGGTTTGACTTCGTAGTCCGCGAATGGATCAAAATGAGTAAAGCTCCAGTTTCCACTGGCGCAGAGTACACGTTTACAAATTTCACGTTGGCCGCTGATGATAACCAATTTATCAGATCAGATAAGTCTTCCAGCTGGACGCACAATGCATTACCTCCTCTCCTAAAAATTAATAACAGATCATAAAGCCGATAAGACTCCAAGCGAAAAAGATCGGGGAAGAGTGAAGGAGAGGAAATATGGAGATATCATTGCACAGTTTCAGTTTCGGACTTACTTTCGTGAAAATATAGCACTGAGCAGGATAAATTTACTACATAGGAATTGTAAATTTCGCTGGCCTGGTAGTACCGCGAAATGAACCAGTCAAGGTGTTTACCCGGTGCCAGACCCATTTGGAGTCGGAACGCTTCCAAATCGAACCCGCTTTTTTGCAGGTCCAAAAATCGGACCCTGTTGGGAACGGATAAACAAAAGGCCTATTAGTCTCGATCCTTTTTGGATCGGATCCATTTGGAACCAGCTCTGTCTTAATATAGCTTTAAAGGGCGTGTTCGATTGACCGTATTCCGCAATAAGAATAAATGGAAGAAACTCTACAAATCATTTGTTTTGGCTTTCATTGTCAGTAGAGCCCCCCCCCAAGAAAAACTTGAACGTCCGTGTAGTGACTAAGCTACATTGCCAATAAGGTCAGTGATACCTCCAGCTTCTAGCCTGGCGGACCTTGCAAGCAGTCGTCTTCAGTTGTCCTTTGTTT